GTACCGCCCGAGCTTAGCCGGCCAGAGATATTTTGCCGTTGTCACTCCCACACCACGATGAGGTGCCTGGATCGGAATTTTGTGGGAGTTTCTGACAGATAGTGAATGATAAACATGATATATTCATTTGAAATGGGCTTGCTCTGAGCGCCCCTGCCAAAGTGTTCAATGTTGAATAAGGCCAAGGTTAGTAAACTTGAGTTTTTTGATGTGATTCATTGACATTTTAGTGTTTAATGCAGTTTTTTGGAAAGATTATTTAAAGCATTTCTCTTAGGTCGATATGGTCTATAAAGAAGAGGAAGTAAAATCCACTGCTGAAAGGACCATTGACAACAAATCAAAATTGTCTTGTCATTATTGCAACAAACATTTTACAATGAAAGCTCATTACGAACAGCATGTATCGAGTCATGCCACGGTACGTTTTGCTTTGTCAGTTTGGAATGAAATTTGGCTGAATTTGGAGGATTCTCGATTCTTTAGTGTCCAAAGAAAAACTGCACTTTCGAAGCGATTCCTAAAATTCTTGCGAAACATTTGATGGACAAGGTAAAACTATGCCGTCCATTTTTGTTTCTTACTAGGAAATGACTCCATTTCAGCATTCTTGCTCAATGCCGACGAGTGCTTTTCTCAAAAATGCGCCAAAGACTTCTCGGTGAGAAGTTTTTCTACCTTTTGGTATGGTTGTTATATTGACTGACATGAGACAATAAGCCTTCTGCAAGAACCTTCTGAGTATGTTGGCAGTTGTTCGATAAATCAAAGCCAGAACAAAGCGACTGCGTGTGACCAAGAAATGCACGAGTCTCGTTGGTTGTAACTTTCTCATTAGTCTTTTCTCGGTATATTTTTCGCTGGGGCGCGACATGGCACTATCTTTATATCACTGGCATCGCCCTTGGTACTATCTACTATGTACCAAGTGTGTGTCTACTCTGTGCTATCATTCATTATTAGCCCTTGCAAAGGTTGATCAGGCTTAGAGCTTGGAGATACGTGTTAATGTTATTCTCATTCACTGTCTCACTTTCTGGGTTGCTTCTCTGGATGTCTTTCGTCTGTACATATTAACCGTCAAATTGTGGGAAGTTCTGTCATCTTGACTACTCTGCCTTCGTTGGCGGATTGTATTGAATATTTTCACAGCTTCAAATGCGGCTAAAGAATGTAGTTAACAACGCCTCACCTTGGCATGCTTTTTCCGTGCATGAATTAAAATTCTGATATGTAGGTTACAGGCAGCATTTTGTAAAATGCCAGAACTTGCCGAATACTACGATATACTCTGTTAATTGCTGCATGGATTTAGGGCATTCAAGCGACATTCAGATGATGATGACGATGACGACGATGATGACGAAGACGACTTTGATGATGACGACGACGATGACAGTTACGTTGGTAAGGGCTGTGGGTTTTTGTTCTCCACCTGTGTTTTTAAAACTGGGTTGGGTTTTGCCCCACAAGTAGGACCCTTGTAAAGCGGGAAAAGTCGACACTGGCAAGGAAAAAAATATCTCGTCTACTTCTTGATTGATAAGGTTTCTTTCGATATCTTGTTATGGCTGTGTGACAGCATAGAAAGCCTACATGAAGAAAGAAAATATATATTTATCTAACTTAGCTGAAAAGTAGAGGCCATAAACATTTTTTTGCCGTTTAGGCCTGAATGTACATATCCAAATCATGTAGGTACTGATAGTGTTGAAGATTTTGTAGATAAGTGTTTGAACGATTCATGGTTCAGAGCACCAAATACAACTTATGGTACAACAGTTTATTACCAACGCGTTTCGCTGCGTAGACCGTAGCATCATCAGGGCTAGGCAAAGCACAGATTGCATACGAATACGTAGCCATGGAATTTCGAAAACTACCTCTTAGCTAATGTTCGACTACTTCCATGCCCTTCTGAGATACGTCATGCCACAGATCGAGTAAAAAAAATTGACAGTAAGTTGTTTTAGCTTTTTTTGCAAAAAAGTTTTTGGTTTTTGACACAGAAACTTTAGAACAGCCAAAGGCACCTGTAAAGGTCAAAGTACTACTAAAATCTGGAGTTCGTGCGCAAAAGATTGTCAGAATTCAAAGCGATCCTTCACCAAAAGAGCAGCTCTTGCAAATGGTAAATATGTATATTTTCATTTGTTGCATTGCCGTTCAGTTTAAAGGATATCTGATTAATTAACAACATTGATAGCTTGATATTAATGACAATCTGCGGAGTATAAGTAGTTGCCTGTTAAATAGAGGTTCCACAAAATATACTACTGAAACAAAGATGAACTAAAATAATAACAGTCGATCCCAAAGGCTGATGATTATTTGTAGAAATGTTACTGCGATCCTTTTACTACTTATATGATGAGTTTATATATCACATAGCGTTCATTAGACATTACATGCAAGCCGTATTTTTAAGTTAGTTTGAATTAGTATTGTTTACACACGACTTTTCCTGCAGTTATAGCAGATTGTTGCGATGTTCAGTCTGAAAGTCAGATTGTAAATTAACATGTTGGCAGGGAGGAGTTTAGTTTTAGAACATTATGTATTTGATGGGGTTCAATTTTCAATGGATATGAATTGCCTTGGCTTTAATATTTTAAATACATTTGCTGCAAAATGGAACATTTTTATTCGTGCGTTTTGTGTTTCTAACAACACAAAACCGGTTGTTGATTACACAATGCAATTCGTCGTCGGATGGACCGATACCTATAGTACTACACCGATGGTATCATTCTAGTACCCGACTGGCTATCATATGACGGTTTGCATTAATGAACCGTTGTTGTTCTATTTTCTGAAAATGTTTTGGCTAATATCTGTTGTGCTAATTTTAGCTTAGCAAAGATGAATTGATTCATGAAACGGATCTTCTAATGAAATGCATTCATCATACCGTCGAGAAAAACTTCTTCATGCCTAAGAAACGACTTACGGATGAGGAGTACCTCAATATGCTTATGACCGCTACCGATGATTAGGTAACATCAAAACTACTGACTATCCCGTTATTTTTTGTCCTGCTACAGAAACGTTTTTATTTTTTATTTTGTACCCGTTTTTAAATTGAACATTAAAAAGTACCGCTGCATTTATATCTGTCAAATTTTTAAACATTATCGTTTGTTTTGTAATGCGGTGTCATTCTTCAACGTGACGACGACTATTTGAATTGTTTAAATTACTGCTGACTACTCGTGATCTCTCTGACGAGATCTCTACGTGTTATGTAACGGCGCTTAACGCTACTTGAATTCACAAACTGAGTTCTAGGTGCTGATTGTTCTCAGTGGCTGTTAAATCAGGCGGTGCAAATATGTATGGCAAGTAGAATCGGACTTGCCTTTTGTCTGTCATTTTCAGTTGAGAAGTAGCTGCGCATGTCTGATTCTGAATAGAAATAAAAACTAATTGGCAGTAAAATAACAAGTTTACAAAACTCAAAGTGGCAGAAAACGATGGGCCGATACAAGAACGTGTAAATGACAAGCAGGAATCCAGGCGATCTGACGGATGGCGGAGAGCCACGGCTACAACAACCATCAGAACGAAGCTAATAACAAAATCCGTTACAAATCCGGCATCCGCTAGCCAAAGTTTCCGTTCGAAAAGGTCATTCAGCGAAAGGCCACGCCGAGAACGGTGGTAGAAGAAGGTAGTAGAACAAGCATCGAAAGTCAACTACCACCGTTTGATCTTTACTCGAGTACCGACTGGAATATTTCTCTCGCCTCACTCATTTCTTTTCTCCTGCAGCGCTGCTAGGGCTGGTCTTAACTTCCTTCTGGGTGATAGACGAAGTCACCAAATGAGGTAAGCTGACGACGGTCTGATGAGGCGGTTGAATGGACGGGAAATTGCGTTCCAAATACTTCAGTGACTCGTTCAAGTATGAAGTTATGGCTGAAGCTGCAGAACAAATCGCCGGAGAACCGAAACCATGAGTGATTAGGGAAAAATGGGTCAAGTGGCGCTGGATGGTTGGCTCCAAAATGCACGGCTCTTTCGAATTGCAGAGCGGGCTTCTGTCCTGATTGAGCAGCGTTATAAGCTCCTTTAAAACTTGTCTGAAAAATCAACATAGATGGCTGAATCACACAGTTATTAAACGATATACTTTGTTGATAGCAACATTTCTTTGCGTCGCTGCACTTCCATGTAATCGCCGGTGCACTGAGAACGGCAGAGATATTCAGCGACCTGACGAGAAGGAAATTCCGTTTCACACGCGTAGCCAAAATCCCGAGCCAGGTGAATCGCCTCTCCTAAATAAAAATCCGTTTTACTGTATTGTGTTTAAGAACTGTTCTCAGTCATTCACAACGTAACTGTATTGATAGGTTTGGTTAGTGACAATAAAATGTTTCGATAAGGTGTAACTCCTGCAATACCGCATTTCACAACGTACTGACCGCCCCTCGCTCCTAGTTGCCTGAGTGGAAAATATTTAAGCAGGTCATGACTCTATAGTACTTTAGCACATGCACTAATGGATTCATCTGGCAGCATTTTACCCGCTAGAGCCACGTCACTCTCCTCATGAACAACATTTCAGACGCTGATATTCTTTATACGCTACCGCATTAGCATCATAGACTACGTATCGTACGCCCGAGTATGTCTAGTCAAATAGCGACAAATTTCAAGTACGTTTGTCATGTTATTTACACTAAAACTGAGCCAGACCAGATCAGCTTTTTTCAAAATCCATGGCATTTGTGCATCTGCGGTGCCAAATGCATCTCACACGTTTAAATGGCTTGTAGGCAACTAGGAACAAGTGAACGGTGCCGTACACCGTGAAAATCTGTCTTTGAAGAATTATGCATTACTGACATAATCTGGCGCACAAACATAATTTAATGCTAATGCAACTTGAATGACAATTTAAAGATTAGTAGACATCAATCCATAAATAATTCATGCATTAATTATTGTTGTAGTCGGTGCGGCGGTTTGGTAACCTTACCCTTATACAACTGTTTCACCATGTTTCAAATATAAAAGCGTACTTTGCGGCTTTTATGGGAAGAATTCATAGACGTCATTCTCCGTTCGAAAGAAAACGTCGCTAAGAATATGTGCAATATGCAACACTGCTGCGCCAGATTTACCAGATGACTATTCAAGCTACCTTAAAGTGGATTATTTTCCCTGCATTTCCTGATAATATCCATTAAGTATCATCATTCAAATGGCAAATAGCAGGATGAAAGGATTTAATCATGTTTTTTTGGGTATTTGGAAGTTCCAGTCCGTTTTTCTGAGATTATAACAGTCATTCTCTTCGCTGGCAGACCATTCGAATGTTTATGATAAACCTTTACGGTTATCCAGCTGTTCAGAGCAAACGCTCCACTGCATTTCGTCAAGTGACATAATTCGCTAATTTGGTCATTGCCCGCTTTCTGTGATTCTTTCTATGACATTGGACATTTTAGTCGAATAAATGCTGGATTAAATAAAGGCTGCCAAAATGTAAGGATTCGTGATGTTAGGACCGCGCTCTGTGCATCCATTACCATTGTGCAAGCGGGCAGCCACCAACGCGTGGGATCATGCCCGTGCGAAGAGGCGTCGACGTAATTCCTTTGGCCATGGTGACACGAATACTGAAACGGTAGACTCACCATTAATATAGAGAGTTGACAAATCACTTGATGCCCTTACAGTATGTAAAAGAAGCCTCCTGCAACTACGAATGCAAAATTTATAGGTTAACATGGAGAAAAGCTTTGCGCTATGTCATTTGAATCTAGTTTTTAAATATTTAAACTTTTTCTTTTCATCACAGAAATGTTTCTGCTTGCAAAAAACATAAATATACCTTCAACAAGAGACGTAAGTAGAGTAACGTTAGCTGCCTTCCGTCTTCCTGCCGGTAGATTCAGCCCAATTTTCTCTAAGCTTTCCCTCAACGATTTTCCGCCATTCTTTGATTTTGCCCTGAAAATTACTGCGCATCAGAGAGCGAACATTCTTCAAGGTCTATCTGAGTTGTTTGAGCAGACAGTTTGAAAATTATAATTAATTAATTTTAATTCACAACGACTTTGCCAATGTCCTCTTGAGAATCACCGAACGCATGTACAATACAGTTGTGGGAATCGAGTAACTTGGCAACGCCTACTAGACGAAAATCATGAAAAACTGCCGTCATGACCGTTAGCCGAAGGATACTGTGGCATCCTTCTGCAAAGAAAATGTAACATTCTTGACTAACAGAAGCATGACATAGAACAGCATCGCACTACGTAGCTACATGAAAAAAAGATGCTAACGACCACGATACTGTACAGAGGAATGACATCGCAATGATGACAAACTTTTTAACTTAACTCCGCCATCGCCGGTCCCAAGCCCGGATGAGAAAGTAGGAACGTTGGGGACCAT